AGTTTCCACCTCTTCGTCCAAGCGCCGGAGTACCTTTCGCTAAGATCGGACGAATGACCTGTAGGCACCCACCACTGTATACGTAAACAACCGAAATGTGGTGAGGAACGGTCGTCCACAACCTCAGACTATGCTCTGCCAACCCAGAATGGGACACCTTGAGACAGTTCCTCATCCGGCGGCCTAACAATCAGAAAATCACCTTGGTTTATATGGCGTCGAGGGTCGAAGTCCACTTTTGGACGGCCCACCCTCGGTCCTACATATATAAGCGAAGCATCTGGCGAAGGAGGGTCGGCTTCTTGAACTTCCTCCACAGTTTCGACTGATTGTGGCCAGAAGGTGTGAGGGTAGATCTCCGGCTCGTCCGCCCCGAGGACATCCTCTTCCTCACCCTCTTCCGTCTCCTTCTTCTTTTGCTTTTGGATCATGTCGTCCGCCTCGACGAAGATGGCTTTCCAGTAAGACAAAGCATCCATCCGCTTGTCGACCTCCTCCTTCCTCTGTCTGCCACATGTGTCTATGCTATTCGAGGACGTCCACAAATTTTTGGACACTGTCACGAGCCATCCGAAAATCGTCTTTAACGGCACGGGGAATAACACATGGTTGTGGAGGGGAGGCAGGGCCTGCATACAGGCCATCGACAACCGGGAACTAGTGAACTGGTCTGCCTTCCGACATCCATTCCGCATCGGTAGAGTACTTCTTGTACACCATGACGGGACTGCCGTCACGCATGAAGAATTTGAAGAGGTGCGGTTTCGATACGCCGACGATGGTTCTATCGACGTATCGATCGACTACCCGACGCTAATCGGCAATGTGATCGAGCTCAATGCACTTCGGCGGTATCTTGTGCGACGACTCGATAAGCGAGAACAACTGCTTCATTGTGTAGGCATCGTTGTCCTTCAGTTTTTTTTAGAAAACACTAAAAGTCGCGTCTATGTCGGTATGCGTGTGGCCAACGAGCATGAACCCCACTTCGACATCTTCGAAAATCCCGAATTTCACCAGAAGAGAGGCCAAACACATATGGTATTGGTTTTTGTTTTCCCTCTACTAATTGTCCGCCTGGATGCGGAGGTGGCGTAGCCATTTCTGTCCCGACGCCTGCAACTCATATAGAGTCCGCATAACGCACGTCATGGTGCCATCGAAACCGTGCGTATAGAAAGGCAAATAGGTGTACACATAAATGGACAGTTTCCTTCCGTGAGCTACGACCTCGGTCAGGTTCGTTTTCATCATCATGTCGTGTCGATGATCCTTGGAGTAATTATACATGCCGATGTGAGGAATGGTTATCTTTTTCTGATCCATTCCATTTACTATAAGGCAGAGGTATTCCGCGGGGTTCAAAATGGAACGAAGTTTCCAGTCAGCGTAATCCGCACGGTGAGCAATCTGATCTAGTCGGTGTTTGCGGTGCTTTTCATCGAAATCCCTACGGTCACGAAGGAGGAAGGCATTGTCTCTGGCCTGTCTAAGGCGGACGCACTCGCCACACTTTGTGAACGAGTTGGACTTGGCAAGGTCGGCATGCCACAAGTACTTCCTCCATATGGAATAGAAGACTTACTCCGAAACGACGGTCTGACCCGCCGCTTCCAAGTCCGCCTTGATAGACTTGATACAAGGAGTTTCGTGAAATAAGCAGGGAGCCTAACTTTGGGTCGTTGTGAGATCCCCCTTAGAACTATTTCATTAGGCATAGCATCTCCATGTTCTTCCACGAACCTTGTCACACGAGCCAGCATGCTCACATACTCCGATCTCGGTTTCAACAATCCCCATCGACCATGACGGCCATGGACGACCCCGTCCGACTTGTACTTGCTATAACGACGAAATGTGTTTCGATATATCCCTATTATTTTGCACCAACCGGCGATGCACACATGGCGTTTGCACTGCACTGGTTGGACACTTTCCAGACCGCCGTTGAGGATAGTGAAATTGTCGAGGTTTTGCATCCACCACTCGATCCTCCTTTCGAGGGACATTTTGTAATAGGCTTCGCGCACTGGTTTGATATCGTCAATGGTCAAGACCCGAAGACACTTGTTCTTACAACATTTGTACGTCGGGACGAGCGCAATGTTAGTTTCATTCAATCGACATTTGACCCTCTTCGAATGTTTGACCTTCTAACCGGCCTATTTTTCCGATTATATCTTCTCCTTTCTCCTGGTAGGGGATGGGACAAAACTTGAAGGACTGCTTCGGGAGTTCCAGGCTGGCTTTTGGTCAGGGACCTATGCGCTGCACCTAGGAATTTCGATCTGTCCGTGGGAGCGGTTCTCGGCAAATCAGATTGGGAGGATTCCGATGAACTGTAGAAATCTGTGTCTACAAAACCAGTCTGCCAATTTTCCATTGCACCCGTCACTGTCATCGACGGAGAGCCAACTATTCCGGCTTCACATGCAATTGTCTTACCTATCTTCGCACTTCCACACGCACGTACCGTTGCCTAGTCCCTATCATACCCATTTCTACCAAATGCACCGCACTGTTCCCGATCAGATCCGTTTCTATCGGGTGTATCGCAGAAGTCTGTGTCCACCAACGACCGACTGTAGTCAAATGCTAGGGGTTGGGTAACTTCAATGTTTCTAATAGTCTACCCGCTGTCCGCACGAGATCTGATCCAGTCGTTTCAGACACACCACAGAAATTTGTGTCCACGAACATCCACCTACTGGGAAACGTCTTGACATCCCGAACTCCCTCACTACCGGGGATTAGCGCTGTAGATACGCGCTGACCGTCGGGAACGTCGGTAAAGCGAACAAAACGACGTCGGGCGGACGTCGTAGACGAGCCTGAATGATTCGTCGGGGTCAACATTGAGAACTCCCTTTTCAAACCGCAACGCCGATCGAAGGGAGCTTCTGGGATGCCGTCACAAGAACTACGTTCTCGAACATCGTCTTCTCCATGTTGTCGTGATGGTGGCGGTGGCGTGACACAGTGGACGGATTGGACAGCTATTTGAAGATGATTCACAAGGAAACTGTACAACAAGAAAATCACGTCAACGTATGACGAGGTCAGGGAAATAAACAAGAGGGAGCAAACTCACATTTTAAATATTTATCACAAAACAGTGGAACAACAACATTTGAATCCATATCGTTTTGTCGGACCCTGATGTGAGGCTCAAGTGGTATCTCAAGTCCGACTCCTCACCCACTCCTTCAGTGTGCATGTGGTTTGGATATGTCCGAGTAAACTCGCACTTTTTCAGGCGAGAGTATAAATGCGAGTTGATTCGGACTTATTCAACGTACAGTAAGAAATTAAGTTCATGGTCGGAACAAGACCGAACACAAGTGCGATTCGATTCGGTATTTTCCACTAAACAACGAGAAATTTCAAGTGTCAAAAAATTCACACTTCAGAGGAACATTTCGATTACGCCGTGCAATGAGAAATTGCCTTTGTGGTTGGTTCAGTGGCGAGTTAACTCACAAATACAAAACGACTTATTTCTTTAGGGACGAGAAGATACGCGAATTATCGACTAAAGAGGAATAAATTTAGGGGGATGGATGGTTGAAAAGCGAATAAATTCGCACTTGCAAACGAGCATTTCCATTACGAAACTGGGGCTTGTGGACTAAAGAGTCAAAAATTTGGGGGGATGGCTGGTTGAAGAGCGAATAAATTCGCATTTGCAAACGAACATTTCCACTATGAAACTGGGACTTTTGGACTGTAGAGTACGAAATTTAGGGGGATGGTTGATTGAAGAGCGAATAAATTCGCACTTGCAAACGAGCATTTTCATTACGAAACTGGGGGTACAAGTGCGAGTTAATTCTGACCTATGGACTAAACAATGACAAATTAAGGGGTTGGTTGGTTTGAGAGCGAATGAATTCACACTTGTAAACGAGCATTTCCATTACAAAACTGCGGGTACAAGTGCAAGTTGTTACCGGCTTGTTCTGCGTGTAGTACGAGCCACAGATTGTCGCAAGAGAGAAATAGGGAAAGATGGCGTGCTAATTTTTAAGATGGAGAAAGATTGCGAAGCGATGGGCAGACGACGCATCGATGAAAATACATGGACAGAGATGGCGCACCGAATGAGAGAGATGGCGCACCAAGAGAGATGGATGGGGTCACAGTCTTCCCCCGAATACAACGTCCGGTCATTACAGCTGAATTCGGGTCATCTTTCTGTCTAAAGACAACTTTAATGAAAGTGCGTTGTATATTCCGGGGAAGAAGGTGGATGGCGCAGGAAGGGAAAGAGATCGCGAACTGATTGGGAGGTGTGCCGCAGTGAGAGAGTGATTGCGCACCGATGGAGAAACATGGCGCAGCAATGGAGATAGCAGGCGCAACGATGGTTAGCGATAGCACAGCAATGGAGAAAGATGGCGCACCGAAGCTGATAGATGACGATGGAGATAGATTAGGAAAGATAGCGCAGCGATGGAGATAGATGACGAAGGAGATAGATTAGGAAAGATAGCGCACTGAAGAAGATGGATGAAGAAGGAGATAGATTAGGAAAGATACTGCAGCGATGGGGATAGATGACGAGAGGTCGGTAGAGATCGCGCATCGGTGGAGAGAGATGGAGAGAGGACGCGCAACAATGGTTAGCGATGCCTCAGCGATGGAGAGAGAAGGCACAACTATGAACAAGATTTGTTATTGCACAACATCAGTTCCATCGAGTTAAACCTTCGTTAAGCATACCTGTCACCTGTTTCGTGCGATTCCACAGTGATGGGCGGCTGCACCGACGACGGCCTTAAACAACAATACAATGGCGATGGCGGGATCACGCACAAATAATGGAGAGCCTGTGGGGCAAGGATGGAGGTTGCCCGGTTGTCGGGAGAGATCGCGCAGTGATGGAGCGAGATGGACAGTGATCACTCAGCGATGGAGGGAGATCGTGCGGCGGTGGTGAGAGAAATTGCGCAGTGCTGCGGTGGGATAATACTGGCGAGGGCTTCGATAGCGATGGCCAGCGCTGCGGTGGAGAGCGATGGCGCACCGGTGGAGAGCGATTGCGCGGCGATGGAACGCGTTACAATGCAGCGATAGCGATAGCGATGGCAGAGATGAAAGAACGATGCCGATTGCGCACCGGTGGATAACGATGGCGCAGCGGTGGAGAGCGATGGCGCAGCGCTGGAACATCGATGGAACAGAGATAGCGATGGCGCAGCGATGGAACAGCAATAGCGAAGGCAGCGATAACGATAGCGATAGTGATGGCAGCGATAACGATGGCGCACCGATTGAGATGGCGCAGCGATAGAACCAACGTTGCGATGATAACTATGGTACCAGCGTTGCGATGGCGCAGCGATGGCCGGCGCTGCGATGAGAGCGATGGCGATTGTCAGCGCTGCGATGGTCAGGCGAGCGCGATGGCTGCGATGGGAGATATAGCTTTGCGTCGCGATGGCGATGAGCTAAGCGCATCGATGGCGATGGTGCATGGCGAGCGTTGGCAATGGCGATGAGCTAAGCACATCAATAACGATAGTGCATGGCTAAGCGCATAGATCCGTTGACATTTGCAAAATGTACGAATGACAGCGACACCGGAACTTATAGATTTCCGGTGTTTTTGACCTCGGCGCACAACGAATCCCCGCGCCTCGGCGGGAAATAAACCGTCGCCTGGCCTCGGCGCGCAACGAACTGCCTCGGTGCACAACGAATCGCCGCACCTTATGGATTCTTGCGCCTTACCTCGTGCGTCGGATCATACCGATCGACGGTCCAGATTACAACTGCGAAAATGACATTGCCTGCCTCTTGTTTTCGGGAACTGTCACATCATTGCAGGCCGGAGTAGACGAAGATTTTGGGGCCACTGGCATAACAGTGGCTCCGTTCATCTGCGCGGTTGAAAATTGTTGATCGACGACTGACAATTTGCGGTACCCCTTACATTTTATAGGCCCTGGCGTTTTATGGGCCCAGGGGTGCGATACGCGAATTGATTCGGCCCCACCTTGATGGCGTTTTATGGGCCCAGGGGTGCGATATGCGAATCGATTCGGCCCCACCTTGATCCCGACGCGAGGCCTGCTGCAACAAAGTATAAAAGGCGTTGCAGCCCTCGAGTTATCCCTTTTGTTGGCGCTCCACACATCAAGTCGCGCTATCGCTTCCGTGCACGTTCTGATATTTGGTATTCAGCCCCCCCCACCTTCCGCCATAGCCCGCTCACTCTTCGCTCTTCGCTCCGTCCGCAGTTGCCACATTGTGTTCGGTTCGCTCTTCGCTTCTCGGTCTTCGCTCTTCCTAGCTCGATATCCCTCCACCATAGCTGGTTCGGTGGTTGGTTGCTCGCTCAACGCACGACAAAGGTAAGCACGTATGCCCCTTCGGCGATAGACGGATGTGTGGGCACTTGGCGTGGAACCACACAAACGTGGTCACCCTCGGATTTTTTATTATATCTTAGTTATCTAAATGTTTTTGTTGTGGATGCAGACGAGGCCAATGAACAGGAAAAGCGGAGTAGTGACAGTACAGAGCGAGACGCGGATGAAGAAGAGGGAGATGAAGACGGGAGGGGGGCGGATGAGACAAAGATGTCATCATTTCCTGAGTGAACGAGATACAAAAGCGAAAAGAAATGCAGCACGGTGAGAGGTGCATGCGACATACCCTCAAATGACAAACAACTGGTGCAGAAGAAGAATGAAACACGAGAAGGTAAGCAAACTCTGTCAGCATTGCTCCCTAGGTAGGAAGTCACTACTTTAGGTAAGTTGCTTCTTGCCCTCCATCCTTTAGTGGCCTAAATAAATAAATACATGTACATATATGTGCAAGTATGCCGCTTTGGCGACACATAGATACGTAGGCAATTGATGCATAACCACACCAACGTGACCAACCTTGTATTTTCTATTATATCTTAGCTATCTAAACATTTTTGTTATGGATGCAGACGAGGGCGACGAAGAGGAAGAGTGGAGCAGCGACAACACAGAGCGAGACGAGGATGAAGAAGAGGGACATGGAGACAGGAGGGGGGCGGATGAGAATGAGATGTCATAATTTTTTAAGAAAACGAGATATGGAAGCGAAAAGAAACCAGTAGCGAGAGAGGTGCATGCAACACGCCCTCAAATGCCAGATATCTGGTGCGGAAGGAGAATGGAATGCAAGAAGGTAATCAAACTCTGCCAGCGTTGCTGCCTAGGTAAGAAGTCACTTCTTTAGGTAAGTTGCTTCTTGCCCTCCATCCTTTTATAGCCTAAATAAATAAATATATGTACATATATGTGCAAGTATGCTGCTTCGACGACAAACGGACGTGTGGACACTTGGCTCTGAAACCACATAAACGTGGTCAACCTTACATTTTCTTTTATATCTTATTTATTGTTACTTTTCGTTGTGGATGCAGGTGGAGCAACGACAACACAGAGCAAGACGAGGATGAAAAAGAGAGAGATGAAGATGGGAGGAGGGCGGATGTGATAGAGATATCACATTTTCATGATAAAACGAGATACAAAAGCTAAAAGAAACGCAGCAGGGAGAGAGGTGTATGCGACACGCCCTCCAATGACAAACAACTGGTGTAGAAGGAGAATGAAACGTTAGAACGTAAGCAAACTCTGTCAGCGTCGCTCCTAGGTAGAAAATCGTAGTGACAAGTCAAAAAATATGCTCACGTATCTACGATGCAACAAAGGTGCTGTGCTTTTTCATACGAATAATCAATTTCATCCGAACCTTTGCACGACCATAGTTTGGTTTGTCAATAATATTTTTCTGGTCGCACTCTCACGCGCAGGCACAGACACACTTACACTTACACACACACACACTTACAAACACACACTTACACACACGCACACTTACAAACACACACATACACACACACACTTACAAACACGCACATACACAAACACACACATATACATACACACACACACTTACAAACACACACATACACTTACAAGCACAGACATACACACACACACTTACAAACACACACATACACAAACACACGCGCATACATTCATATTCATGCACAGACACACTCTCATGGCAGGCACACACATACACAGATACGCGCACAAACAGCACACCTACACACACATAATTGGGGCGTTGGGGGTTGGGGGATGTGGGGGCGGATGGGAGGTGCTTCAGAGGTTGGGGGGATTTTTATTTTTTTATTTTTTTTTATTTTTTTATTTTTTTTCTTGCCTAGGGCCACGTGTTCTGGACCCCGGGCATCAATTCCGTTTTTTCGAAAAGCGCGGGAGCGGCCCATTTTCGCGTTTAACGCGAATTCAACGGGATTTTTTGGAGTTTAACTGGATTTAACGAGAGTTTAATTCCCCCGTTCAGCGTTAAAAAGATACACAGCCGGGGAACCCCTCATGAGTCCACTTGCCTGACCCCTTTTCAGTTACTGACCAATAGTCTAGCGTGTGTAGCTCTGTCGAGCCTAAACGAAGAAATGACCCTTGCACGATGAGCCATGAGGGAGACGGTCAAAGACAAGGTCCAACGCCACTTGTAGTTGATGGAAAAGGCCCTCCCCTGGTTGGCCAAAAAAAGACAGCGGATGACCGAAATGGCCCACGATCGGCAGGTCTGGAGCTATGAGCCCCGGAATGGGAATGTTGGACCTCCGCCCCAGTATAAATTGGGGAACAGAGTGGAGGTAAAGAAATGTGCTCGCCAAGGCAAGTTAGCGCCACTATTCTTCGGGCCATCATATAGTCGAGCTCGGTCCTAGCAGAGTGAACACGGTGCGACTTGCGCCGGAGGTCTCAGAAAGCAGATCGGCTCGACCGATCATCCGCCACGTGTCCTACCTTCGTCTCTTACCTTCTTCTTCTTCTCCCCCATCATCTACGTCATCTTTCGATTTCAAAGGAAGGCAACGACCTTGAACTCGACTATTCTGATTCTCCTTCCTCGCAACCTTCCTCTCTACCTTCTTCCCCATAGCCATGAGCTTTTCTGCAGTAAGTTATCAACGAGAGTCTAATGAGACCTAGAGGGCACATCACGTCAATCCGGCAGGTGTAGCGACCACGGTTGAGCCCCAATCTACCTCGATTCGCAGCGTTCTTCTGCACGGCGGCCATCCACGCGACAGCAGAATTTCGGTTCGTACGGACCAGCGGTTGAGCAAAGGTGCTGGCCGAGGTGTCGGATTTTTTATGGCTGTCTCCACCAGGTGTCAGCCACGTGTCTGTAATCGTCCCTTTCACGGCGACCTTACGACAGTGCACCCAACATCTCATACGGGCATCCTCCAGCAATTGCAACTCTGGGCGTGGGATCTCACGACCGCCTGGGTCCAACTGTTAGCATTACGTACCGATCGGATCAGCTCCACGGACGACATCGATCTCAGCCAGCTCCGCGTCTCTCCTTATGTGCCAGAGGTCATCCACCCGGAGCTTCTCCCCTTCGCGCCGCCCCAATGAACCGGTACCGACTCTCAACTTTCGGGCTTCCTTCTAATATCCCTTCCTTCTGGCAGTCCGCTAAGGACGTCTCTCTCTGTTTCCAGATAAGGCAGCTGGATATGCCGATCCTAAAGGCCGGCAAGTGGGCGGAGTGGTGGAACGAGTACATCGCGCTCAACTTCTGCCTTCTCGAAGTAGTGTTTCATTGGGCGGAGCCGGCCAATAAGGACGAGGAGGACGAAGTCCCCGATGACGAGGTGGACCTGCTGATTGGCCAAGCCTGGAGAACGGATATGGAGGGAGAACTGTTGGGGATTATATTCGAGAAGGTCAGGGACGGTCATTTGGAGTCAATCACGGGGGAAGTTCTGGTGTTCCTGGCTCAACTTCTGGTTGACCCGAGCTTGGAAATTCTTTCGAGGTGCGACGAGCAGTCCGCTACAACCCCGCTCACCCGAACGCTAGTACCACATCTACTGTGGTCCGTGTGCACGGAGCTCGACAGCGACAATTGCTACTACCCCTCTTCGGGTCATTACCTGGTCATCGACGTGACCGACCTCACCTTGTGGGATCCGATCATCCGAAGAGTGGAGGTGGGAGGAGTAGTCGATGACGCAGAGGAAGAGGAGGAAAGCGAAGAGGAAGAAGAAGAAGACTCGGAGCCTGAAGCCGACGATCCCGATTACCACGAGTTAGAGGAGAGTGAGTTGGGCGGGAGTGGGCCGGACGAATCAGGCAACCCCAACGAACAGAGCAAGGAAGAGGACGGGCTAGCAACACGATTGTCAAAAGGTGATCCCGCGCGCAATCCAGAGCCGCTGCAGGAGGAATCCAAAGGAAATGGCGTCGCCACCGCGGAGGGATCCAGAAGCAGATGCCGCAGAAAAAGTCCAACGCCGGCTTAATCCTCTCCCCCTCCGCGGCCCACCGTTCGGGCTTCGTCCCCGGTCATTATCCCGCCATCCCCTTGATTTTCTCGTTGTCCATCAGCTCGCAGGCCGGCCCCCATTTCCTTCCAGCTGGCAACCTTTCCCCCTTTCCCTTTTTGACCAGCTCTACTCCACCCGCCTCATCGTCAACGTCTTCCCGCACGCCACCTAGTCGCTCTGTCGTAATCACTTTTCCCCTCCACGTCCTTCTCCTCAGCACGACATTGCAGGAATGTAATAATATAGAGGTCTATCGCATCATCTCCGACACCATCCCCTCATGCGAAGATTATGATAACTTCCGCGCAGCGATTCCCCGCACCCTTTGTATCCTTTACGCTGATTACCTCGCTTCGCTCCCGCACCAAGATCATCGCTTCCCTCGCATCCATCACATTGTGCACTTTACCCGACTCCCCACTGGAGATCGAGAACAGAGTCGCTTTCTACCACCTCTCCCCTTAGCTCATTCTCCTCTTCCTCCACCCGTCATAAGACTACCCTTCCCCGACAACCTCTAGGTCCGGAGCGCTCGAATGCCACCTTGGATGACTTCCACATTCTCATCTTACGGTGAGTGGCACGTGTTGGTTCCACGACGATCGTCGGCATATTCTACAGACCATTGAATGACGGAGAGCAAGCAGGAGCTTGCTCAAGATTGGAACCCCCTGGGCATCACATATGTGACGAACTATTTTCTGCGGCCTCGCGGTTTCCTACGCAAGGCTATTTCGGGGGATGAAATTGGTTAAGTCGGGATGGCCTGGTGGATTGCATGGATGCCCCTGCTTTTTCTTAACTCTTTCGAGTGAAGGCTGGTCCGGTCCGACAATGGTTGATAGTTGGTCGTGCCTCAGCGAGCGCGACGAATAACAGTTGCCATAACTTCTTTCGTGTTCTGTTGGGGAAATGAGAATTTTAGCGCAATCGTCGCGAGGGAAAATCTTTCCGAATGTTCAACTGCTGTGGAGCCCCAGTGGGCTCTCGGAAATTGTCTCGTTCGGAATTTCTTTTTGCAATAAGGATAAATTTTAGAGTAGGAATTTAGGCGCATCTCAATTTTCGCTGCATGACGCTTCTTGCTTGCGCACGCCTTGCCGCGTCAAGATCTATGCTTTGACTTCTCCGCTCCTTAATCTCGCGTGTAACTGTAATCTTTGTTTTTTCCGTGCGTGATTGCAATTGTAATCCTGTTGTTCTTGATATCTTTTGTGGCACCCCTGTGCGCGCATAGTAACATACTTCACTCCCGTCCTATTGGCCTGATTGCTTGCATGACTGGATCGATGTGTGGAGTGTGGCTACGCCCCCCACGCCGCGGCCTGACCATGCAGATGTAGGCACTTCCTCCTTCCTCCTTTCTTCCCCTTAAGACCCAATCCCAAGTATCTCGCGCGAGCATGCATGCTATAAATTTTGCAAGCGCGATTAATTCGCTCTCTAAGAATTTTGGAGTTAGCGAGGTCGAGAGGATCGGCGAACGATCAAGAGCTGGCTGGTGAGTAGAGAGTTGGGCGATCCGACGAGCTCTGTGTTACCGCGCGTTCATTGAACACGGGTTTCACGTTTAGGTTTTAAACGGGCTGAACGCGCGTTCACTGAACGTCGGTAAACGTGATTGACGCGTTTGCGCAGGGGCGTGTGCGGGGTGTGGGGGGCTTTTGGGCAGTGTGGGGAGCGGTGGCGGTGCTTGGGGGGGTTGTCAGCAGTGTGGGGAGCGGCGTCACT